GGTTGTTAGTTTCTAGAGACTTTGAAAAAACATGACATTTTCATATTTTTTAAATATTTTCAAAATTATGTAATTCAAATTCTTATATATTTTTATACATCCACACAAGGAAAGTTTCATCAATGAATCCTAAAAATTCATTTTTTAAGCTTTAGTTTGATATAAAACTTGTTTACATTCCTCAAAGTTGAAAATTTGCTAAATCTGAAAAAAAGTCATGGAATTGCCCTTATACATTCAATAAAGTGTGCCCTCTCTAATGAGATTAGCTTTTGTACTTCGCATCCCGCACAATGCGGTCATTTGAGTAGGCCTGAGATATGAATTTGTTTAGTTGTCAAAATCTCGGTCAGAATAATTTTTTTAAACAAATTTTAAATAATTCCAACGAAATATTATATTCAAGTGTCAATGCTAGCAACAGAAAATATCATGTCCGGTTTTTTTTATATCTGATACAGAACCTAAATCGAGGTAAGGCTAGGCCTAGCCTAGCAGTGTTGATAGGCTAATGTTTCTGGTGCCCTTTATATTTCTTCGTAGACCTATCGCAAAATCAAACATAAAAAATTCATCAAAATTTGTTCATATTTAGGAATGTCTAAATTTAGTTAAACTAGCAATTTCGTATTATATTTATAAACCTTTATATAAATCAGATTTTTCTTAACAACTGAAATTTTGCCAGGAATGGGGCTTTAATTAAATACAAAAAAAAAAGAAAATACTGATACATACAGTATCATACATTATGAAAATATGAAAGAATAACATTTTTTTTCCTGATTTTTTAGATATCCTCTGCGCAATTAAAAAAACTTTGCAGTACTATTTTTTTAGTACTATATTAGTACTACCTAGCCTTGGGAACCTTCAAATTCATTGATATGAACTATCAAATACAACGATATTGTTGAAAGGTTCCAAGTAATTTACAAGACATACTGTATGTACGTCCATTTACAGTATTGTTCAGGGGCGGATTTAGGGGAGGGGGGGGTGCCGGCCCGGCCCTGGGCCCCCCCCCCCTTTTGGGAGGTTAAAAAAAAAGGAAAAAAAAAAAGAAAAAAAAGAAAGAATGAAAAAAATGAATGATAGCCCACAACGCCTCAAATGTTATTTTCGGGCGTCTAGAGCACAAAAATGCCCCCGGACCCTCTAGGACATTGTTGTCTCGATTGGCCAAATTTCGGCCTCCCCTTTCGGCCCCTCCCCCCTTTTGGACATCTCTGGATTCGCCCCTGTTGTTGTATCCAAGCATGGAATACAGAAGTAAAAAGGGATTGAGATTCTGCAAAAGGTTCAAAGGAGAGCAACTAACTGGTTCCTGAATTACATCATTTGGAATACCACCAAAGGTTGGCAATGCTTGAGCTTTCACCATTGTTCAACTGGAGGATCCGTGGTGACCTCATTGAAGTATTTAAAATCTTAAACAACTTTATAGTGGATCCCGATCTATTTTTTGAAAAACAAGGAAGTAATAGAAACCAGGGGTATCCTCATAAATTGTTTAAGAAACAACTTGTAAAGTCCCTTGGATGTAGAAAAGATTTCTTTTCACAAAGAATCATTAATATTTGGAATTCACTTCCCAAGGATGTTGTGCTGGATCTCTCGGTGAACTGCTTTAAAGCAAGACTAGATTGATGTGGGGTTATAAAGGCCATTGAGGCCTGATCCTTCCCCACTACAATCAAGTATCAAGTAAAGATGCTAGGCCTTGATAGACTCAGCCCCTGTAAAGTCCTAAAAATTTTAATTGCGAGGATGATACATCAACATTTTATTATGTTGGGAGCATTGAATTAATAAGGCCTAATAAATGTAAAGTGAGAAAAGACTGAGCCAAATGATTGGAAATGTCCCCCTTAAATCATTTTGTAGATTATTTGATAAAACCGTACTGTGCCACTGTCTGTTTAGAATACAAGGTGTTTTTGACTTGAACGTTACTTTGTTTCTAGTTCTTGGTCAGAGGACTTGTCCTAGAATATCTTGTGCTAGTCACCATATTCTACAGTAAGATACTGTAGTCCTACATGAAGTAATGGTTTTCTCTAATAAAGTGTTTTTTTTAAGTCCATAATGCTAATATTTCCTATTACCATTGATGTGGGTGGGACCACCCAGCCTTGAAGTTTTCCACCTAGTCTAATACTAATTTCATAGCCATCTACCCACCTTTATTAATATTAGCCCCTTGCCCATCATTAAAATCCACTTTCATTATTTCGAATTCACCAAAGTTGTTATCCACCCACCCTTCAAATATCTACCACCTACCCTTACTAGAGCAGTCAGTCCATAGAGGGTATACATATGCCCTGTGCTCGAGTACGAAATACATTGCAATTATTTTCCGCACTGTGCCAAAATACCGAACAATACACAGGCCGTGTATGATGGGCGAATCCATTATTTTCTTTTATGCTCATCAAAAAAAAATCAAATACCTGTGATTTTAACCTTGTCCTTTTACGATTTCCCCTAAAATCATTTCTCTTTCTTTGATTATTTTATGATGATCCATTCATGAATAGTTATTGTATAATTTTGCTAACAGACAGACAGTGGTGAATACCCTCCATTAATAGTATTAATAAATAACAGTACTCGAATAGGAACATGATGTAATTATATCCAACAAGGCCCTTCAACAAAAAGTTCCCTTTTGATAGTTTGATAGTTCTGTAATATACATTTTTATAGTCTGTATAATATTTTTGTAATTTCATTGTATAATGTTGCCTATTTTGATATTGTATTTTATCATCTTTTTTAAAATGTAAAGTGCATTGAACTGAAATCTTAAAATGTAATTATAAATGAATATTATTATTATTATTATTATTATTATATAAAGTAGTCAGCTATGTCTGTAAATGTCCACTAGTCCTTCCTTGGAGAGATTCTATATGCAATGTTACTGAACCTGGAATGTAGAAAAGAGGTATTTTTCTACCTGTAGTATATTTCGGAATTATCATATCAATTTAATGTAATGTTCAAAATTGATGTACATTTTCTATTTGTTCTTTAATACTTTCATTTTTTCAGACATCCAAGTACTGTATTTTTATTGAAGTTGAATCAGAACAATAGAGTCACATAATGATGAACAGTGAGGATCCAGCTGATGTAAGTAACCAGAAAACTCATAGTCTAGTAGAAGATATCCTAGTAGTTATAATATTCGTAATATTTTTGACAAGGGTTGGGTAGTCACCTCAACCACAGAACCTCCCATTTACGTACAACTTTTGATCAATAGGCCATGGACCGAGGTTGGAAATCACTTCATAAAATAAAGTTCTCCGGAAGAAAAACTTATGGGATATAGAATTGTAATGTTTTAAGTCAGTATTTTTCTTCATAGTTTGTAATATTTAAAAACAGAAAATAATTATAAATGATGCCAATTCAGTCCATTGAGGATACTAAGAGCAATACATTACTGCAATATTCATTGCATGTAAGCTACGTGAATAGGGCTCATCATCGGTTTAAATAAATAAATAAATAAAAAAAAAAAAAATAGAATTTGTCCAAATCATTAAATGTACAGCTTCTAATCTAGGCCCTAATAAAAAAATGGCAAAGTTTATAATTAATATGCAGGCTTTCATGACCAGATAAAATCAGTTAATGAAATGATAGATATTTATTACTTTAATATGGCAGAACTTGTGTGTAATATTAAAAAATCATTTTAAGAATCCACGTTTTACGTACTTGCAAATATGATGGCGATGCAAGGTCCAAAGCATATTTTCTAAACTTTGATAAGGTCGTGCTCTGCAGACAGATTTGTGATGTATGCAATGCGAAGCCCTATTGAAAAAAAAACCAATTTAATTTGCCACGACTTTCACATTTTAATAATAAACTGGCCCCTGACTGACACTATCAGCTAATTTTGTTGAGCCCCAATACAGTTTACCCTAATTAATATAGTAATAAGCCGATATTGAAGCTACTGGCAAAACCACCACCTGAAGTTTAAACTGTATGTTAGAGACTTAGTCAGAGAAGACAAATAAAGCAATAATTCTTCAAGATCAAGGTAAATCTAGGTAATTTTGTGAGTTATTCAATAGGTAGTGCTGTAGGCATAAAAATGAAAGGTTGTTTATAGCCTGCTTTTCTGGGCTATGTGAATTCGCAGTGTCATATCATATAAATAAGCAGGCTTATATACAAACATTAGTTAATGTCTTGGGATATGAAAATTATTTTGATTTTTAATTGTTGTTTTGTGTTGATGTAAATTTAAATACGAAAAGATATAATGACGTCTTGATGTCAAAAGCTCCTCTTTCATTAACCATCTTCAATAATATTGAAGATATTTTCAAAATACCTCTTCAAATTTACCTAAAAAGAAACATAAGAATGATAAACTTCCGTATCATTATTACACCATGAGGTGAAAGTAAATTAGGTTGCTTTAGACTGAGTGACAGTAAAGCTATGAGCATACAGTAAATATCTTGAATAATTTAATTTAAAAAAAAAATCACTTTATGCAATGGTGACTCCAGAAATTTTCCAACAGGGTCCAACATGTTCGACAGTTGACGGCTGAACCAATGGGCCATATAGAGCCTTGACAGGGTTCTGAAATATAAATTCCTGGTAGTGTTTATGGGGAGAGTTTTTATGGCTTAGTTTGGACCAATATTGTGCTTTTAAACAATGATAAAAAAGGGATTAGCAATCAAAATTGACATTTCTGGTCTGACAACCTTGTCATGGTGTTGGACGAATGGGAGGTCCAGGCTGTCCAGTTGGAGGGTAATCCAGAATATAGTAAGGCCTGCAAAGGAAATATTTCGTCCACCCAAAAATTTGGCCTACACAGTAGCAATCTCTTTGTGCATTCCGGAAAATATGGGCCCATTTCTGCACAGATTTTTGCCAGAAATTAGGCTTTGACCTCCTATCTAGTTTTAATGTCTGTTTATCTTGTACAGTTTCTTTGTCACAACCTTGTGGATTAACACAGTCATTTCTTTTTGGTGAACAAGTTTCAAATGTATATTTTTAATGTATATTTTTCGTGAATAAATATAGATATAGGTAGTAATTACAATTCTGCACAGCTATTTTACTAGCGATTTTCATGCAAATTTGAGCTAGTTTTTGAAGTATCATCTGTGCAACTAAACAGTATAAAGGGGTATGACGCCACCGCTGCATATTTTTAGGACAAACATTTCTTCTCCGTATTCAAGGTTTTGACGTTCAGATTTACAGTATTAACTAGAAAAAAAAGAATTAATTAATAGTTTTGTGTAATTTTTTTCAGTGTCCACTTTGTATGGAAACTCTTGAAATAGATGATGTAAACTTTTTTCCCTGCACATGTGGTTATCAGGTAAGCTTTTTCTTCAAATCATTTTGATCCAAATATAAACATAGTCTGCAGATATACTGATTTGCGTGATTTTTAAAATTTTTTTTAATTATGAACAAGCTCAGCTTTATATGGACCTTATTAATCATGGTGTGTTGAAAATTGTGTATATATATATGTACATAGTGTAACTAAAAATTATTTGGTAGCAATATTATTAATTATTTCTGCCAATCGATGGGCCATTCTCAAGTTTTTTTCGTTGTATTCACGGACTAACAGCTACTCAACTTTCTGGTGTACATTATTCGCAACCATGTATTTTAATTTGAAAAATTGCATCACATTTTTTAGAGTAACCTCTCCCAATTAAGAACCTCCCATTTACGAAAGCTCGATTTTACGAACCGAATTTGCGTCGACGTCATTACGAACAATAGTTTTTAACTGCAAAAACACTTTAAAATGTATTTAAAAGTCTTCAGAAATAATTTTAATTGTTACATCAGCTAAGAGAGAAAACATTGAAACCAATAAATTGATAAAAAAGTAAGTTTAAAACAAGATATATCAATCGTTTTCAGCCAAGATATATTATATTTGAGCTGTGCATGCTTGTTCAGGCATCCTGTAGAGTAAATCTCACTTTTTGATTATTAGGGCCATTATTCACATTAATTCACGATCTTTATGAAAAGAATAATGATACTCGTTTTGGGCATTATATGGTCATGTTTTCATTAGGAAATCACTTTCAATGAATACTTCACAGTGAGCACAGTTAATTTTGGCTTCAGTAAAGTATTATATTGTTGCAGAAAACAGTAAAATCCAGGTCATATTTCGTGAAAAATTTTTCTCCCATGCCAAATCTTAGGCCTACCTAGTTATATACTTTGTAGCATAGGGCTAGGCCTACCCTCACCACACTTGAGATACTGAAAATTTAACTCTCCGGATTACAAATTTTCTCATTTACGAACCCTGTTCGGAAAGGAGGGGTACGTAATTGGGAGATGGTACTGTACTAAAATTTAAAGCCAGGCTTCAGAGGAAGAAATGATTCTGTTGTTCAACTGATTTTCCTAAGACATGGAAGGGGTGTTTGATGGGAAACTTGGGATAAGGTACAGATTTTTAGATATTTATGAAAAGAGTGAATTAGAAAAAAAAACCATGGGGACCAACTCGATGGTAGCGAGACTGAATCTGCTGACTTCTCTATAGATTTGTCGCTTTTGCTGGCATCGTATTCGGACAGATGAGAATGGTTTGTGTCCAGCATGTAGAAAAGTTTACCAAGAGCATCCTGCAAACTTCAAACCACTAACAGAGGAAGAGTAAGACAAAAACAATTCATATACATATCCAAATGATATGCAATAATTCTGTCAATATTCTTACAGATTAATTTTTAAAAGGTTCTATCTACTCTACTAGCATGCATAGTTTATCAGCTGCTTTTTAATATGTAAAATTAAGATATCATTGTTGTTATAATCTGAATTAGTTACAAAAATTATAATTCATTGAATGTGAGTTTTTTTTTTTGTAGTTAGATAAATTTATTATTAATTCGCACATGAAATTGAGAATAAAATAATTATTGTTCATAATAAAGGTGATGGATGCATAGACCAATTATCAAAAGATTAATCTTCAAAAGCAAAAAATGTCATGTAATCAGTCTCTGAAGTGAGTTTGTTTACTTTTAATTCATTTTTTATTTTGTTGTCTACTCATTACTATGACGTGTTAATATAGGTTGCAGAGGATTAAGAATGAAAAGAAGCAGAAAGATCATCAAAGACGGCAAAAAGTATCAGAGAATAGGAAACATCTTGCTAGTGTTAGGTAAGACATATTTCTTGTGTGTGTGTGTGTGTATGTGGTTGTGTGTATTTATCTTTTTCACATGTACCTTCACTGTATTTCAATTGTACTACCTTCTAGCAAGGTTTGTGTTTAGTCAGTGTTCTGTCTTTCTGTCGAAATACTGTACCTTATTTCTGTAGCATATTTATAGTACATTTTCTGTTGTGTGCATCTGGTGTTACAGTTGTTTGTACATAAATGATGTTGAATCTTGCAATTGCCATGTTAGATTCTTATCTTATCGTGTACATCACAGATATATTTATGTATATATATTTTTTTGGTCTTTTTTTGTAGGGTAGTACAGAAGAACCTTGTATTTGTTGTTGGTCTTTCATCTAGGCTTGCTGATAATGAGGTATGTTTGTGAGTTGGGGTAGAACCACAGCATGTAGGTACTTAGGTTGGGTTAAACATAGTCTGATAGCCCTGAGGTATTCAGTTTTCCAAAAAGCCCTAGGTCAGCTCCAGGAAGAACAACAGCTCAGACATAATATAATGTATACACACAATGTCATCCACAGGCTTGGCCTATCCAATGAGGGCTTAAGCTCCCTCTCCCACTTGGTCACTATTGGTTTAATCATGGGGTACAAGAAAAGGAGATTCAACCAACATAATTGAATTTACTATTAGCTAATGCCTAATTTATTGTTTAATAATCCATCTTTCGACATGTAAATATCACGATGTTGTCGACACATGTACTGTATATTTTATATACAAGCATAACACCTCCGGCAGGTTTTGGCCATGTGGCCGAAGCGACTTGGTAACTGAGTGCCGAGTGTAGCTTGTATACAGCACTGTCTGTAATCTATTATGAAGTTTAAATTAAAAATGCACAGGATATATAGTGGCTGCACTGATGGATCAAAGTGAGCAAATTGGTTGCATCGCCTTTTTTATACCTCCATATTTTAAGGGGGATGACAAAGGACTAAATTGCTCTCAAGCATGTTTAATTATTAACAATGTAATGATGAATGCAGAAAAAAACATTAGGGTAATTGTTGTTCCATGGTATTTTCCTACCTATTTTTTTTAAAGCAACATTAAAATTGTTTGTAACTGGATGAAATTTGTTAACAGCAAGTTTTGACTAGGCAAAGGAGTTAGGACATCCAGTGTGTTAAATTCTCTTTATTTTTAATAGGTTTTGAGAAAGCAAGAATATTTCGGAAAATTTGGCAAAATTATGAAGGTGGTTGTTAATCAAAATACAGCGTATGCTGGTCAAGGGGTAAGCATCACTTTTTTTTTTTAAAGTTATCAAAACTAAATGTGTTCATATTCAGATAAATCGGAGACACTCCTTCGAATGCTAAGGTGTAATTTGCAACTTTTTAAATGGAAAATAAAACATACAATAAACAAACCCCTATCCCTATCCATTTTGTGCTGTGCCAGTGGGGAGAACTGTTTGCATCTTGTGCAAAGTATATGTCGGGGGAGAAGTGATATTTGCTAATTGTTGCCACATTTGAATGTTTTGTGTCACACAATTTATAAAGAGAGACTTTGTCAGGTCACATAATAATAATAATAATAATAATGTAGTTTTATATAGTGGTGTTATCCATCAAATAAGATGCTCATGGTGCTTGATATGTGGACTAGGAACTCAATCAATGATTTTCTACACCCCTAAGGGTCCCTTCGTGTTTGTGCTACCCTGTAACTCGATACCAGCAACTCTCGTCATCCACCACAGTACCAGTACACAGGGGTATTCCCTGCTCGTCTCGAATGATGTAATGGGTTCTTTATATACAATGTACACGAGCCGTTGTATACACTGGTTTATAGTCCTTATCCAAAAGACTTGTCCTATTCGATTCGCCATGAATCAGTTTCAAGTGCAAAGTCAAAAGCAGTCGTTTTAGTATATGTATGTAGATGATTTTAAATCCTTTCTTAATGCTCATTTTGCAGGGCCCAAGTGCAAGTGCTTATGTGACGTATCAGAAAGCAGAAGATGCATTGCGTGCCATACAAGCAGTTAATAATGTCCATGTAGACGGGAGGACATTAAAAGCATCTCTTGGTACTACTAAGTATTGTAGCAATTTCTTAAAGAATATGTCTTGTCCTAAACAGGTAAGAAAAGGCCGGTATTCGGATTTGATTATATAATTTAAAAAAAAGTACAGTTTGAAGTGATATTTGATTTTGTTACATTGTACTGCAGTCAAACCTCCCATTCACAACACACCAAATTACAACAAAATTCAGTTTCAAGTGATGATTTGAGAAATTTTATCTTTGGAACATTTACATCCTAAAAATCCCAAAAAACCCATTGAACTTTGAAATTTAATCATGATATACATTGAATAAAACAGTAGAACCCCTTTTAAGGGGGACACCTTTGAGACCAAAAAACATGTCCCTTAATAGTGGTGTCCCCTCAATAGCAGTTGGCCATAGTGTTAAAATGCAAAAACTGTTTACATTAATAGGGGTGTTTCAAAGGAGGGGTTCTACTGCATATAATTAGTGCCTATAGCTTAATAGTACGAAGCATTCAATGTGAATTCATAATGCACATTATTAAAGCTTCATATAGGCTAGGATTTAGGCTAACAATGAATCTTCTAGTGGATTCCTTAATCAATCATCATACTCATTATTGTTTAATGTCATTTTAATATAATATTTAAGAGGACTTATAATAATCATCATTTAAGGTGTAGTCCTACAGTACAGCCCACAATTAACGCCTTCGCACTGTCGTGGGCGTGGACGTTGCGTTGCGTTTCCACGCAGAATGTTAACCTCGCAGTAACCACGCGTGGAGTTAAGCACAAGGTAAACAACAGAGTAACAAAGTTTATCCTACATAACAAGATTTTGTTTATTTTTTATAAAATTTTTTATAAACAGTTAAAGTCGTTACTGGACGTTCATGGACTGTTTATAAATGCTACATGGCTAGCAAAGCAAAGCAAAGTAAGAGTTGATTCCTGAAAGTTAAGCCTACCTTCCTTTTGACTGGACTCACTGACTTCTATTTTTCTAATTATAAGCCTAGGCAAGGCCTATGTTTTTTAGGCCAACACGATCGGCGCCGGGTATAACTAGGCCATAATTTACGATCGGTTTTCTCGGCTTTGTACATAATTATATGCAAAAATTCAACTCAGATTTTCGGCTGTTATTCGTGTTCAATATATTATAAATAGTTTATGAGTACGAAGTCCTCCAGAAAGAAAGTTGACAAATAAGTCTAGCCTAGGCCTGGCCCTAGTTCAAAGAGAAGAAACGTCACGAACGAGTGTTGAATGTAATTTTTATCTACGCACAGAAAATAGGCCCACGTCGCTGAACAGTGAATGGTTTATATTGGACGCAAATATTACCCAGTGTACTATTGATGAAAGTGGACAATAATCTTCTAAATATATATTTTCCTTGTTCTCTTAAAAAACTGTATACTACATTGTTGCTTTACATCTGGGCACAGGGTTATAATTTCTTCTGAGACACGTAATCTTTTGATGCAGTAATGCAGTTTGTTTACGAAGGCAGAACATGTGCTCAGAAGATGTGAACGACTGAAGATATGGGACGGGTTTTGAACTGAACACTTTAATGTATTTGTTTTATTATTTTATATATTATATAATATACTGTACTGCATTAGTATCATTATCATCATCATTGTTATTAGTAATAGGCCTACTGTACGGCTTTATTTCATAAAAGAAATAAAGATGTCACAAAGTTCAGTTCGATGCAATGTACAGTAAATAGAAAAAAAATTCCGTATTGAGTTCAATCAGGTTCAATTGAATGTAATTCTTATTTACAAACAGGATCGAAATAAGCCCACATACGCCGTCACTGAATGTTTATTTCGCCGCAAATGTTACCTATTAATAATTAATATGTAGACAATAATAGTTTCTAAATATTTTATCTTTCTCTTCAAAAACTCTGATCGGGCACGGTGTAATAATTTCTTCACTGACTGCTGTAATGCGGTCTGTTTACGAAAGCAGAACATGTGCTTCTCTCAGCTCACGCACTCGATACGGCAGAATGGGTTTGAGACTGGAAGGAAGGAACAACAGTGGGACGAAATGTCAACGTTTTATGTCAATAAATAATTCAATACTTTTCCTATTCGTTTAATTATTTTATATATAATATAATATAGTGTAATTAGTATCGTTATGATCATAATTTTACTGCATCTCAATGACAATGTGAATGACAATAAAGTGTAACTGTCCTGTGGTATCTGTATCTTTATTTGTATTTTTATGTATAATTGTACTAAATCTTTCCAGAAGAAAATGTAGATAAAAAGTTCATAAAGAAGAAATAAAAATGTCACGAATGGTGAAAGTTAATTTAATAGTATAAATAGAAAAACGATATTCCGTAATGAGTTGAATTTAATTTTTATATATACAAACAAGGATATGCCTATAATAGGCTTGAAATTCTAATAGGATAGGCCCACGTCGTCACTGAATATTTCATTTGCCGCAAACGTTACCTACTATAAATTAAAATGTAGACAATAATAGTTTCAAAATATTTATTTTATATTTCTCTACAAAAACTGTATAATTCTAATACGATTTCGGATTTGGGCACGGTGTAATAATTTCTTCACTGACACACTGCAATGCGGTCGTTTATAAACGTAAAACATGGGCTTTCTTCACGCACTTGATATGGCTGAATGGAGTTTGAGAATGCGCCACCCGCCAAAAACACTGGCTGGTAAAAATATGTTGTCATGTCAAGGACCTTTTGACCCAAAGCCAATTACTTTCTGACGTTCCCATGCACATGTTTTTGACTCGACTGTTGTAGCCTGAGTTGCAGGCCTTAGGTCTACGATATAACCTCTTTTTTAATTAGTTAGGCCTACTAATTTTCATTTGTGTAGTGTTTGGTAAGGATACATATGGATACCTGTGGATTAACATCAACAAGGTAATAATCTTTTACGAGTCCGTGGCGTGGGTGAATAGGGCCTGATATGGGCAGATCAAGACCCTAGTCTAGGCCAATGTTTGGTAGGACTAGTGACGATCCTGAGATCGAACTTACTAATAATGTACAATTAAAATATAATATTACACAGCATATTTTGCTTGATAATACCTTGTATACACGTCTGAATTCTTTACTCTAATTGACAACTGTTTACTGCAGTTCAAAACATTGTTTATTCCTGCTAATTGACCCATCAAAACAATCTACATTCTCGTGGTGTAATTATCAGGTCACGTTTTACGCGTGGTGGTAGATCCTACTACCACGCAACGACAAGGAAGTTACCACGCGTGCCACGTGTGGTTAATGTTGCAATAATTGTGGGCTGTACTGTACTTAATATTCAGCTTAATTACTGTGGATTCTAAATTTTAGAACAGTAGATTTCAATATTTCCACCATTTTGTATTTACACTACCAAGGTGTACATGAATTAAATATTTGACTGTACTGTAGTTATATTAGAAAATTTATGAAATTCTTTTCCTACCTTTTTTGTTACAGGATTGCATGTATTTACATGAACTCGGTGAGGGCACAGCTAGTTTTACAAAAGAAGACATGCAGATGGGGTAAGCAGTGCCATATGTTATGTCAGTGCCAAACTTAGAAATTGGTTGAGTTTTAGCAAAGTTAAGAATATTAAAATCATTATATTGTATAACAGTCATGTAGATTTAGAGAAAACACCTTCCAAAGATTCCACAATTAATATTTTATTATTAGGATTTGTATTTTAAAGATAATATTAATATACTTTTTAGTTAGATTAGTGATTGATATTTTTCAGAATGCTCTTCAGGAAACTGCAGAAACCTCAAATTGTTCAAAATTTTTATTCTCAGACATTTAGGGTGGTTGCACAAAATCAGAATTGTAGGGTTTTTGCCAGAGCGATCACATATATATTGAATGTTAATACTAAATACTGAATACTGAAAAGTTTATTGGTCCAAAAGGAAATTTGTTGGTATCAAAATAACACAACATTATTCACATAAACATGTGTTTCAAAAAGAGCTCCAGAAAGATAAAACTATCAGCTTATATAACCTAGCTGTACAACTCCAGAGCATTCAAGAGCATTCTATATTGCCTAAGTTCCTCATTGGTTACCTTACATCATAATTAACCAATAGGCTATTTCCTTTACAGTACCCAAGATTCCAGAAACTTCCAAATATTACTCTTGGATTCTACATGGTGTCATGTGTTCCTATAATTACCAATGTGGTTTACACTGTTTATTTGGTCATTAAATGTTATTCTAGAATGTTCTATGTATTAAAAATGTTGAAATAAAGCAAGGAATGGTAATTTATTACATACAACAAAATGATAATGTACAATGATTAAGAAAATAAATATTTTAAATTATCATAATGCCTATAATATTAAGATAGAGAATCAAGCTATCTGATTTTGATGATTTGTCAAAGCCTCCAAAATGTTGCTGTAGACTAACTCAGTACTGTTTTGATTTTAATTTTACAGGATATTTACTTATGATGTTATTAATAATTTTGTATTTTGTCTAGGAAACATCAAGAATATGAACAGAAGTTGATCCAGGATATGTTTAACCAATCAAATAACACAGCTGCACCACCTCAAACATCAACAACTATTACTGTACCCTCTACAGAAAGAACACGGGCATCCTCTTTAACAAGGTATATTAAGTCAATTTAATATTTATTTATTTGACTCTTTTTATTCATTTGTTCATTCTCTTATATGTATTCAGTATATAGGAGGTGGTATTTGTGAGGCTTCTCCCCAAAATATCAGCGCATCAGCTAATCATCTTTCCAACATGTTTGTCATTTCTATCATTAATAATCTGTAATTTGTCTATGACAGACTGTTATGTGAGTCTTTGATCACCTAATTGGCTAACTGCTTACTTTCCGGGGAAGTGGAGATGTATCTTGGTGCTTGATGCTTGAAAGGGCTCTGGGTTTAATTCCTACGACAGTATAGGAATTTTTTCCATTCCCTAAGCCATGTAATGAGGCGTAAGCCCCTTTCAGGCAGAAAATACTGCTATTATACCATAGTCACGCCGGTGCTATTCCCAATGTAGACCCTTTCACACAATTAGTAAAAGTCCGGAATTAATACCGTATCCTGTCTGTCTCAGTATATATGTACTGTAGGCCTATATAGACTATATTGGCAACCCTGATCTAAAAACAACAAAAATATTTCACACTTTGACCTCTGATTTGTTATGCTTCAGTGCGTAAGACGGCAATGAACCGCGGTATTTTGACTAGGTCCCGAGGAGGTCTAACCTAAGCAGGCATTTAGGTGTATTTACCCTTTCTCATAGAATGCCGGCGTTTGCGAAAAACAGTATTAATTCCATATTGCAGCTCTGTGTGAAAGGGGCTTTAGATAATGCATCACATTATTTCATTTATTTAAAGTCCTGTTCAGACTATCTAATGTTATTTGACAAAAAACTATTGTATTCCTATATATAGTCATGATATGCCTATACAGTATGACCATGATGTGATGTCATTACATTATTTAGGAGTGTCACAAGTTTTCGTCAAATAAAATTTAATAGTCAGGACAGCACTTAAGAGGGCCCCTGATTATCAGACGACCTTCTAGAATGTGCTGGAAAGGTCACCCTCTATAAATATGATTAAAATAATCATTATTCATGTCCCCATTTATACAATTTTTAAATAATCTTTTTATACCATAGGACAAAGCAATCTTCTCCACCATTGCCAACAACACATCATCCAAATTCAAACTCGAAAGAAGCATGGCCAACTTTACAACGAGAGGCAAAGCAGAGTGAAAGATTTTCCCCGACAGAACACCGAAGCCCAGAAACTGTTCAACATAACAATTATGCGGAAGTCATACCCCCTGACATACAGCAACAGTCTTCATCACCAGGGCCAGACGAGTTGCCGTCTTTCATGGTAGCAGCAAGAACATCAGAGACAAGCCAGTTATTGAATCATAATTCATCTCCGCCAGAGGCCAGATCGCCATTCACATCAACCCGAACCACATCATCATTCTTTTCGGAGAACGGTCTTTTTGGTCCAGGTTCCGGCATGCCATCAATTTCGTCTACAGGAAATCGGGTGCCAAATTTACCACCATCTCAGCCACCAGCGCTTCAACCCGCACCTGCGCTTTCAAACTCCTTGGGTATTCACCCTGTAGCCCCACAAGGTATATTTATTCAGGGTTCGTATGTGTTCTGTAAAGTTATGGAAACTGATCTGAGGGTTTTTCAGGATCTTGAAAGTCATGGGGGAAAAATTGGTTCTGGAAAATATGGAATTATTTGTGGCAAAGACAAGCCAAACCAGTCACTGGTCACAAAATTGATTTTTAATTATTAATACAGAGTTAAAGAGTAAAATGAAAGCTGCAAAATGGTAAAAATATCTTTTAAATCCGACATTTCCTTATGAAGTTACAAGAATTTAACATAGAGTTGAAATCAGCCTTCAAAGTTTATGATTTCGGGCATTTGTCAGGCAAAGATTATGACCAAAGCGTAAAAAAATGTTGTTTTAACATTAAAAATTGGGAAAATAACAGCATAGCATGATGTCTAGTTATATAAATATTAGTTTAGTGCAATAAAATAGATTTTTAAAATGTTGGCATTTCAGCATGTTTTGGCCATTATCTCTGAACATGATTTGCGACGAGTGACTGGTTTGGCTTGTCTTTGCCACATTTGTGGAAATAAATTCAATTGCTTACAGTTTGCATTGGGATCATACAGCTGCAGGTCCCAAAAAATATTTCGTGCATGTTATTTTCTGTGACATAAGGTTTTGGAAATTTAGATATATTGGCATAGAAAAAATGTTTGTGTACCAAGGTGTGTGAACACTTGCAGGGAAAAAAATCTATTAGTATACAAGTGTAAATGAAGAAACTTGTAGTCCTTGTACCATCCATTATTAATTAAAAATTTTGTAAATCTCTAGGTTTTGGTCAAACTCTATTAGCTCAACTTTAAGTTAAGTCTTCATGTAGTTTTCTTCTATTTTAACAATTTCCAATATTCTATTAGCTAAATATTCTGTTTTAAAATAAAGCTCATCCTTATTTTATGTTTGGTGATGATATGAAATTTAGTAGTATTCAAGTTTGTATGTTTTTATTTATGAATATTATTTTGCAGATTGGAGTGAGGGTATTTTAAGTTCAGATGCCATGCCTGTTGTAAGTTCAACAGATTGGCAGCGAGCATTCGGCTTCCTTGCAGATACTGAAGATAATCATAGTGAAGATGAATTAGATTTTGACCCGTGGAAAGAATCCAAGAAAGGTCTAGCAGATTTACTCGCAACAGAAATGCAACTGAATCACCAACCACAGAATCACCAACCACAAAATCCCCTTGGTTTGACACAACCACCTCCGGGGTTGACACAACCACCCCCAGGCTTTGGTTGCCAACCTCCAAACCATAGTCCCTTCACAATACCAAACAGACAACCATTAGGTAAGGATATTAACAGTATTATGGTATGTAACAAAATATATAGTTTTCAAAATGTATAGCTAAATTATACCTAAAATTTGGTAATAAAAATTTACTATTCTGTTCAAACAAATACACTGATGGGTTTTTAATATTGTATGTACCTTTATATAATGTTAATAATTAAATTCTTTTAAAGTTCTTTTTATCCATATATAAAAAAATATGATTTTACTCACTTATAGTAATAATTTTAATACTTAATAGCATCTTATTTATCCTTATGTGACTATTATCATGTGTAGATGGCAATAAATTTTCATGGTGTAATGTATGTTTTTTAACAGACATAAATATAATGACACTAATGTTGAGAATATTTTGATTTTAGGTGGTGGTAGCAAGATTTTGAATTTAATGCAGATGAATCACAACCCATTAGTAACTAGTAATCAAGCTCCACCTGGTCTAGGTCAACAAAGTCAAGCTCCGGGCTTCTCAAATCATACATTTCATGGCCCTCAACACAACAGTGCCCAACTGGGTCACAGAGGACACAATCCTGTTGAAGATCTTAAGAGCTGGCAGGATGGTTTCAGGGCTCTATTGCCCAACATTAACATCAGTTTTGGTGCTGCTAACTTTGAACAACCCACAGATTCATCTGGTAGGTTATATCTTTGGTACCAATGCAATCCAAGTGTTGTATGCATGTTTGTGCAGATGTATGTTACACTGACGTCCTCACAGTTGTGAAGAGGCAAACATGGATTTCATACATGTGTACATGTAACTCTGGTCCTGTAGTTGTGCCCTACGGCTTAAAAACATTTCTGCTTAAACATTAAATTATACTTCGTATTAATAGGAAGGCTGATGCATAAGCTTTCCAAAGGTGTAAAATATGTGCATGCACTAATATACAATATTGACTGATCATGAGGGGACGGCCCGAGGGAAGATAGGCTACGGTCTCCACATCACCGAGGGGCAATAGATTTCATTGTTCCCCGAATATAGAGCAGTCAATATTTGTTTTATATACCTCATACATAGATTCTACGAGGCCTAAAAAAGTACCTACTTCCTAGCCTGTTATATTAGAGGCATACTAGGCCTACTACTACTCGACTAGGCTAGCTGGGCCTAGCCTAGGCGATCAAAGAGTGTGTCTAGCTCTTCTTTGCTTATTTCCTCAATTTCAACAGCACCCATCGTCTTGCAATATATTTGTCGAATATTGATAAGACATATTTAATTTGTCTTTTGGTGCTTTGCTATCGGCTTCATCAAGAAGTAATTATAGGCCTAGACTAGTCCTCCTTCATCTCGAAATGAGCAGCTTCGATATTGGTTTATCATCTACTCGCTGATCCGTGACACGGTTAGAGGTTGCAGTCCCCTTTACCGTCAGCAGCGCAATGTTGTGGGCCTAGAGTTTGCACATCGCGACAGGTCAAAAAAGTAATATTTTTAAGGGGAATAGTACTTTTTGAGGGGAACAGTACTTTCTATTGCCCTACTTGTTATCCAGTCAGATGCCTAGAATCTATGTATGAGGTATATAATATACAAATATTGACTGCTCTAGATTCGGGGAATGGTGAAATCTATTGCCCCTTGGTGGTGTGGAGATTGTAGCCTATCTTCCCTCGATAGGCTCGATTTTACATACCTCGTACATAGATTCTACGAGGCCTAAAAAAGTGCTTACTGCCTAGACTAGAGGCCTACTTACTAAGGCCTAGGTGATCAAAGAGTGTGTTGTAGCACCTCTTTGCTTATTTCCTCAATATCAACAGCACCCATTGTCTTGCAATATTTGTCGAATATTGACAAGACATATTTAATTTGTCTTTTGGTGCTTTTGCTATTGGCTTTGTCAAGAAGTATTCAGTGTAGGCCTAGGCTAGTCCTTTTTTATCCAGGTGCTTGAAACAACAGCCTCCATAATTATTGTTTATTGTTTACTCGCTGATCTATGGCACGGTCAAAGGCTAATCTGTTTTGATCCACAATACAATACAATTCAAGTTCGATTTGCAATTTGTTAAATAACATTGGAATTTCATATGATGGTCGCTTATATTATAGAATTACAAAACTCATAAGTTATAAATTAAATTACAAAAACAAAGGAAGAAAAAGAACCCTTCATCCACTAAAATTAAAGTTGTTTATTTAGCATCTTGCGATTGTATTGTTCTCGTGATACACAAGCTAGATAATTTAAAACTTTAGGTAAGTATACAGTAACAACTGACTAACAAGCCTAAGGGTTGTGTGCACGATTTCTAACGTAATATCTCTGAGTTGAAATTTTACATCTGTGTTAAATACTAAATACTAATGACACCATTAATAGGAAGCTCAGTCCCCGTCGGGGTTTGTACCTCTATTTTCTGTTCTTTTTTTAAATTCTAGTTTTCTGTCATGAAGATTTTAAAACTTGGTAAATACTAGATGCAAATTTAGAAGGTGGTTATCACACACTTCACAGGGGTGGTGGACTCAGGATTTGCCCAAGGCAAGAGTTTCACGACGGTAGGGGGTGTCCCAGACAAGAGCAAAGTGAGTGTGGCTGGTCATCGCTTAAAATCTTTTTGAAATTGGTCCCGAGTGCAAATCCCTAAAAAATGTTGACAATTTATGGGTTTCTTTCCTTCATTCTTTTCAATTGAGCTATTCAAAATTTTGTTTGAATTTTTGAGGTGTTTACCTGTCTTTTTGACAGATAGTACATCTTGAATCAGTCTGTGTTAGTTAATGTTAAACAACTCATATTATTGTCTGTTTATTTTCTCATTAAATGAAAAAGGGATGTAAAATAATCATTCTCTAACTAATGGTATTGCATCTTTATTGCAATAGGCATTTTTCATTTTGACTATGCGGCCAGTCTACTACGAACTCATGGACCGTGATGGCAACGCCAAGACACTGTTCGCGTACTACACCAAGAGCTGTTTTCGTTTTTTTTAAGGTGACTACGACGACGCAGCACACGTACATAGGCCTACGGAGGGGAGTTAGTCGACCATGGTTTTAATACCAGAGAACCCTTGTTCCCTTGTTTTATATTTGAAAAAGGAAATGTGAAAAAAAACTTTAGTCAAATACTGTATACAAAATAAAAAGTTTCTAGAAAACACTGAGTGATGTTTCGCTGTTGCCGCTAGGATCTACCTGGCTAGGCCTAGCCTAGCCTAGGTGTCAAAAGAGTCGTTAACCGGGAGAAGAGGGGTGTCAGGCCTGCTCAGGCAATTTGCCAAATGCAACGATGATGTACAAATAAATAACAATTTAAAACAGAGGTATTTATATAGCAAGGCTTGATCCACGATATCAAGGGTGGATGCCCTAGGCCTAGCTAGCGGCACCAGATAATGTGTTTTCTCTTACCCGAAATCAACCTGACAAGGCTAGGCTAGCCTAGCCTAAGCCTAAGCCTAAGGCCTTTTTTTCACTAGATCCCCTGATTTACTTAATTTTATGGTGACTATTCATTCCTCATTTATTGCATGTGTATCAATAGGCCTTCATAAAACATTTAATTACTCACTTGTTTTAATAATTAATTTGTTATTAAACGAACAATGCTCGATCGCGGATGCGATGAAAATTGCAACCCCCCAACAAAAAAGTTACCAGCAGTTTGCCAAACAATCAGCTGATCTGATTGGTCAATATTAGGGTAGTCGCCACTACGCCAAATTCAGAAATTGGGTTGTCGCGGAAGCTGTCACAACGCCGATTTAGCCAGTAAGGTTTGTGAGCATGCGCAGATGTCCGTTACGCTCTATTAGTTCGTAGTAGACTGGCCGCGTAGTCAAAACGAAAAATGCCTATTAGAACATGTAATACACGATATTTACAGTATAACACTTTTTATATTTTAATTTAGGGTCTTGGGTTTCAAATGAAAATCCCCCAGGTTCATGGACAACACAAGATCCAGCAATTCTAAGCATAGCAGGTTCTAATGTAGCAAGAGATAGTGAGTATTCATTGCAAAATAATAACCCTTTCTGTTCTATAGCTAAAGCATCATTTCTAAAATAGCATTTTGTCCTAAAAGTATTAAAAACATGGATCTAATCTGCATAATGTATTTTTTGTAATATGACAATATTTACATAATGAATGGTTCATATTAATTCATCAGAGCACATTTGATTGTGTTTAGGCAAAAAGGAATGAAAAGTTTAGGCTTTTTTTTTTTACCTTAGTAATTTCCAATGTAATTCTCATAGAAACAATAAGCTCAATTCTTGAAATACAATTGTTAAAATATATACTACCGGTACATTCAATGTTTAATAGAAATTTTTGTTTTGTTAGATTTTGAACAGTGAAATATGGCTTAATGAAATACCTCAGTATATCTTAATTTTTGTTTTGTGTTCATAAAATGAATTTTAATATGTATATTAATTTTATATGATGATATAATGTAAATATATTTAATTTTAAACAATAATTTTTTTTGTAATTCCTTGCTAACAAATATTGTTCAGGGCATGTCTATTTACTGTGAAATAGCTTGTATATATTTTTTAACATTTATACTGTACAATACCACTATTTTCTTTTGTCCTTCCAAAATTAGCAGTTTGTCTATAATTGTTTTGTATGATTTTTGAAGTTGTTCATTTAAGGCCAAATAAAATCAATTCTTACTTTCATGTCTCCGCCCTCATCAAATTTTGGAGCCTCTATTAAAAAACTTTACTATTTGCTCTTTTTTAAAAAACAATCATTTTTCCATGAAAGGAAAGCCAATCTGAAAGATTGTTGTCAAAGCCTAAGATGAGGTGGAAACACAATGGCAGAATAGTTTTACAAAGAATCATTTTACTTCTTTTATAAATCACAATTTTAATTATATGCGAGCCTGTTTACCACTTACTAGTATATAGGATAGTACACACATTCACCAAAAACAATTGAAAATCCAAGAAATTAAATGATTGATTTCAATTGGCTTAATCTTTCAGATTCATCTGCAGAAGAACCACCTCATTGGCTGCAGTCTCTGCAATCACTGACAGAGACAGAGTCAAATGGTCCCACAGGCAACAGTCTTTTTCCAACATATTTCAGTTCACAAGGTGAGTATAAGGTTATTTATTTATTTTCATTTTTGCATATGTACAGTAGGTTTGCTTTGGTAACATGTGTGTAATTCTAAACTGTACACATTTGTTGGTATTGATTCTGAATTTTGTGTGAAGTTCCTTTTGTTATTTTTGATGAAAATTTAATAAAAATAGGGTTAATTGACCCACTTCTTTGTGATCATTTATTGTGTTGAATAGACCATTGGGTATCATCTTCAGTGCATGCCTGCTGTACATCATACATCAAATTTGACCTCAATTGCAGGGCCTGGTTTGTAGTTAACATGACCATTGCACACATGGGAATCACTGAAAAACATTCTCTAATGACATTTGGTAGTAGTCAACAATAGTTAACAATATAATGCAAGAATTAATATCGTTTTTCATTTTGGTTAGGTGCTAACTGGGTAGCAAATGGTCCACCACCCGGACATCATACGCAAGTCAAACCAAGCAAAACCACAAAGCAACACACAGTCACAGGACGTGAGTATTAGAGTCTTTACTACGAACTACCAGTTTGAAGAAATAACCAATAATACAACACATTGAATAAACAACAGTCAAGCACATGCCTCCCCCTGTTGCCCAACTGAATATTGTTTTTGCAGAGCACAGACATTACACTACAGGCAGGAATAATCAACTCATTACCACACTTTCTTCTATTGCCACTTACTTTCCCTCTTCGTCAATCCACCTCCCCATCCCTAGATACACCATTGCTTGACTTGGTCTTTGCAATACAATCCATATTGAAATATTTTATGATTAGAGCAGGATATATTTTATTATTAATGTAATTAATTTCTTTTTTTATATCTTCACAGATCTCTAAGATTGGATGATTTCCTTTATATTATTTAACCTAATTAAGTATAATTTAGATGTGAAGATTATTCAGTAACAAGTTATACCCTTTGAAAAACATTAACACAAATGTAAGCTGTGAATGCTTTGATGCAATATGTTTTTGATTTTTTGTAATCTTCTACAGCTCCTCATTTCAGTTGAATTAATCTTTAAAATCCCTTGAAGTTTTTAGATTTTGTTAAAATGATTCAAGTTTTTAACTGAAGGTCTGGATAAATTCAAGTTATGGAGTATAATACATATGATTACCACTCATTGTTACCCAACTCCTCTCCCATTTGATAATTTCTCATTTAAGTATTACGATACAGTATATTATACTTTCAAAACCTAAATTTGATGTTTCATTTTGGCTTAATCTCAAAGGGTCTGCATTTCAAAGTACACATAGTAGACTTGAAATAAATTTCATTTCCTATTTTGAATAACTTGTAATTTGAGGCAAATGCACGTCTTTCAGCATGCTTTGTTTTAGATGCAAGTATAAGAGATTTTGATTTTCTCCTGTGTGCAAAACTATTTGGTAAACTTTCAGTGAAATATATTTTATGTGCTCCTATGAATCTTAAAATAACGGATTAATTGGACAGTTAGAAAGTGCCTATTACACATACCTTACACAGTATTTCTAATTAGATGGTCTCAGTGTATCTCAGGCAAAATCTTGTTCTAAATTATTGTGGTTATCTGCTGAACATATTAATACATAATATTTGGAGGCATGTATTCAGTTGCAAAACTTGTTATTAATACCATCTGGAATAAACAAAAATATTGATATGTAAACATTAAATTTAATGAATTGCCTATCATTTATTGTCTGATAATGTTGAATAATACGATCTTTGAAATACATTCAGTTATATAATTCTGAAATGCTGTGCATGATATAATGTTTAAATATGAATTGGTATCTATTTTAATTTGAATATGGTTGTTCTTACAGTAGTGGTGGGTATGTGCAATACACCTATCCTAATTAGAATTGATCTTTACTCAAATTGGTTCTTAGTATAATTAGTAAACCCAAAAAATGATTCTTTTAAAAGTGTTTTGAAAACTAACAAAATGGTGAACATTTCCCCTTTATGTCACCCCGCTCAGAATGTGAGTCAATATTTACAACATGTTATGTTTAGCTTCAGGAACGAAGATGTACTGTTAAAAAATAAAATCAGTTACAACAATGAATTGCACGTTTTGAAGGATCACAAAAGCTATCATAACTAACATAATTAAAAAAGAAATTATTAGAAAACTTATTTCTTAAAATCAACCAGTAGAAAAACATTGGATTTACTGGATGTTTTGAGGTATCCGATCTCGTTCTAAATCAATCGTGGTCAATAACCCTGCATCATATGTCATCCGAATGTGCCATCTGAACGTGCCTCCTCTTCTATCTGTTAGCAGTTCGTTGTAAATATTGGAAATGTCTTGTGCACCTCCCTCTAGGTTCATTGTATCTTTGTTTCTTATAATGGATTGCTTGATCTTTTTTGTACATCATGTACACTTACTTAATAACACAAGAAAAGAGAATACCAATATTATCATCATTTTCTTCATCATCATCATCATCATCATCTTTGTTATCTTCATCATAAACAATGCTCTTTACCAAAGTAATTTATTGTATATCTAATTGGGACTGGATAAGACTAGTAGCACCTTTAAAGAGCAGGCAGCCTAAATTCATCATTTGATCAATAATTTACGCATTGTCGTGGCTTCCAGAAATCGGACACATTGAAGAAGACTACTGCCAAATAATATGAATTCTTAGATCTTTGGTTTAAAGTGGTAAGAATTTACCCTAAAGCATGTGCTTGCTTTAGATCAGCAGTGTTTCCTCATAACCAGTACAATACTATGTACTGATCATTAGACTGTTTATGGGCTCCCAAGTCTCCCGGATAGCCCTGGAGTCTCCAGGAATTTTGGTTCATCTCCCGGTTTCCCGGAAATATCCACATTTTCTCTAGGATTTTAACAGATTTTCACAATTAGGGCATATGCTAAGCTTAATCTTCCCATTCTTATGCATTATATTTGGCAGACATAAGACTTATTGAACATTCTAGGCAGCAATATGGTATCAACAGCGACCTCAACCGGCCCAAGCAAGTTTGTTTTAATACTCAACAAGGTGATTAATTTGTACATGTGTGTCTTGTACCTGCATTTTAGCTAGTACACGCATTGCAAACCTCTGCCTGTCCTGTACGACAAAATCTTTCACAACGTGGGACCCCTACTGTTTATTCCAGCTTCATTGGTAGGCATTGTCCTGTCACAAACAAACTGCATTTTAAAAATAACTTTCATGATCCTTAAAATTTAGCAATTCAATATTGTCACTGTTCTTACAATATGTGATTTATTAATTGTTGACAAACAGTATATCTTATATACCCTTAATGCTATGGTTTTATCTATATTTGGTTTCCCATTTAAATACAATATTTAAAAAGAATTACATTTTTTTGGAAAATGTGTATGTGCTTAGAATATTCATAACAAGAGTTACTTCTGTGCCTGAATCATGAGTTATAAAGCCATATTAAACTCTTGTTCAATAAGCTGATTTGTAGTTTGAACTGTGCATGCCTGTATCAACGTCAATTGACAAACAAACATTTAAACAGCATAGGTTTTAGTCACTTGTACATGGACACTCACAGTTCGAACTACGAATTGGCTTATATGGTGCTTATGTATTAAATTTGGATGTGTGATCTGCATGAAAGTTTCACAGGTATGGATTTGTGCAGGCTGATTACCAGTGTTTGATCTGCAGAATATGGCATTTTTTAAAACGAAAATTCACATACATAACTGTGATAAGTGAAGAATATAAGGCCCTCTGTGAATAACGTGAAAGAAACGTGTCCATTGTATGTATTACCATTCAGTACAGCTAGAATAATTGTTTATGGCATATTATAAAACGAGATATCTGCCACAAAAGGAAAGGTTTGTAGGTGTTGATTTGAATAAGTTGTCATAGAGTATTGTAGGCCTATTATTCCTGGAGCTCTATCTATTTACTTGCACAGTTTTGTTTGTATGTTCCGTAAGGATAAGGTCAAATGCCCCCTACTTAATTATGTTTATTAACAGAGAATTTCATGTCACAAAATGTACTTACTTTAGTCAGGAAGTGAATTACAACAATTGAGTATAAGAACTACAGGTATTCTAAAATATATTTCAATATGAAGTGAAAAGCATGTGGCTTGTGGATGGTCGTGGTTACCAGACTGAAAGTAAACTCTGTGTTGGAATCAACATTTCCTCATGCATGATCAGAATATGCTGTAGTAGTAGTAGTTTGAATCAATCCATAATGTTTTATGCATGAACATTTCAACGTTAACCATTGAAGTTTTGAAATTATTTAAGTGGGTTCATACTGAGCACAATATAATGATAAATACAATACTGTAATGTGGATTCTATTAATTGCTGTAATGTATACTGTATCCCTACCAGGTGGGTTGGGTATCTGAATCAATTTGCATTTATAAATCTTGAATAATTTTCCAATAATAGATGGCCCATGCATAAAGATAAAGTGTTTTGCTTTGGGCTCTTCCTGTGTCACAATATAGATATTTGACTAAAGTACCAATGCTATAGAATCTGAAGCATTGGCTATAACATATGTACGGTCTATTGGTTTCCAAGCATAAATTTTTTCCAGAGATGGCCAGTTTATGTACTGCATTATCTCTTTAACCAAGAAGGTATAAAATAATCTCCTTGCTTTAACATAGAGGAGATCCTTATTTTCAAACTGTATTTGATTTGAGTACGTCACAAGTAATGAATTCCATACACAACATAAAGTCAATCATCTCTATATGCTTGGTGTGAAAGATTGTACCAAATGTTGACCAATGATATTGACTTGGTGCTGCAACAATCAGTAGTTGATAATCAAAATGAAATACAAACAAGTCAGCAACTCGAATGAAATATCTGCTCCCTTTCTGTGATTAAAAGTATATTTGTACCCTGATATATAATCACCCATGATATAATATTCGACCTGGTTTTACTGGGTTCTAAAATATGGAATCAATGATGATGTTGGGAAAATCTAGTGATGTTGTGCCTAAGTTATATTTTGTTTTCTCTGTTAACATGGTACAGTATTTAATTCATACAAATTGTGTTTTAACAACTTAAACAGAACTCTTTTGAAATGCTGTGGGTAAAAACACAGGCAATGTGCAAATAAACCCTTCATATATGCAGAAATTGAGAAGGTGTATACTGTATTATAATTGCTTTTATTTTGGACTTGGGACAATTTGTGGACCATTACAAGAAGAAACAACTAGTTTCATTCAATGTCCCTTAAATATGCCTAAACTGCTTCCACAGACTGTAGATTTAGATCAATCATCATTCCTGGCCCCTCCTCACAAGACGATCGAACCTGTATATTTCCACCCCAATGAAACAAGCAGTATCATCCGCAAACACGACACCTAGCAAGAGCTGTCATGTTCAAACTGAATACTGTAGTGCCCCTTAGGAGCAACATCTGTGTTGGACATGATTATAACTTCATCTCATAAACTCTGAATGGTTGGCCAGAAAATCGAAAGTACAGGCTGGCGGGAGAAAGTGCAACACGCTCTGACTGAAAAGTGTTGTAAAGAAAGTAAATAAAGGAATTTATGCAAAGAAATATCTAAACTAAAAGATATGGGGTTGAATTGTATTAAAAACAGATGGGATATCACAATACAAAATTCGTACTGGAGCTTATGTAACTACTAATCGATTCAGTTACTTTGGCTATGTTCAGACTCACGGAATAACAGTAGCTTAACTAACGCCAGGCGTACACTAATCCGCGGCATAACTGGTCATGGTGTTCAGACACAACGATTTACTTTCCATGATGCCAGCGTTAAAAACGGAAGTTCCGTCATCATTGAGCTTCCCTATTCAGAAACTCAGGGCTAGGCCTAGCCCACAACGAACAACGCCAGGTCCGTGGCGTAACAGCTGGCTTACACTATTCCGCGGTCTAGTTCAGACACGAACATTTGTATGCCGCTTACATAACGCTACTCTTATTCCGTGAGTCTGAACATACCCTTTATATCTATCTATCACTATCTACACTACTAAAATAACGTTTTGTGTTATTCTCTGTCCACCAAATATCTCCGAAAGTATTTCAAGTACAATTATGATTTTCACACATGTTGTAGCTACCACAAACGGACGAACATCCGCTACATTAAGACTCGATTTTGTTATCCTACATGTGTTCTTATTGGCAAAATAAAACACATTTTCTTGCTGATTACCAGCAGCACCAATATTATCGGTACCGATACCGAAATCAAAATATCTGAGTACGCGGATGATACTACCATTATTTTAGACGGTTCAAAAAAGTCATTAGATAATACCATTGAACAAAGTAGGGATAAATGGCTCTGGTTCGTTGGTTTACATTCTAAATCCTCAATTTTTAAAACGGAGTGTTACCGAATATGGATTGCAAGTGGTCGATGGGCCCAATTGTAGGTATACAGCTATCTGTGGATAAGAATGAGAATTATGAAGTTTAACTTAAGAAACTGGAAACCACCCTAAACATCTGGTCACTAAGGGATCTTACCCCACTGGGAAAAAGTAACAATAATCATTAATAAGTCATTAGCTATAATTAAGTCATTAGCTATTTCACAGTTGTCCGTTTTACCAAATCCTCCCGACGCTTATAAATATTGAAACAAATTTCTTCAACTTTATTTGGCAAGGACAAAATTAACCGAAATACGATGCATAATAAGATTGATGATGGAGGGCCTAATATGACTAATATATTTAATTTTAAAAACGCAACTGAAGTCAATGGGTCAAGAGATTTAGGGATGTAAACAGTTGTGGAATGTGGAAACATTTATTTACTAAAGAAATTAAATGGATATGGCAATATGCGAGCCCAAACACGTCTTTAATTTAGTTAGAAACGCCTTCTTCCATGATGTTTTAGGTGTCTGGTTCAAACTCTAAAAGCTTGGGTTAGATTTACTCGGTGTAAACACCAAGGATAGCCCACGTCTAGAAGAAGACTTATTTCCAGTGGGGTCCTTCTGTTGGTGATTGCGCAGTACACCGGCAGACAATCCCCTATTCTTTTCTGAAGAGTGTACTGTGTTCTTTAATGTACACATGGGTCATAAATGTACACAGGACAACGGCTTAAGCGTCTCACCCGAAAAACGGTGCGCTATATACAAGGAGGGGCAGCGATAGGAATTAAACCGGGGACCTAGAGATCTCCACGGTTCAGCGCACACACAGTGGCTACCACTAGATTAGCCAACTGAGCTAAGCTTCTCTCTATATGTATAATTAAAGATAAGGTAATAGTGAAGGGGCTTATGTATATTTGTTTGCAATTCATGTTAATTTATGGCAACAACACTTTTCCGACTCAGAATTTTATACTGAACAAGAAAAATGTTGGTGTCAATTTTTTCGAGAAGGTTAACTGGCTGCCATCTTGGAAAACAAGATGGCGGACACATCTAGTCAAACATATTATGTATGTGGTATCATTGGAAAGGAAATAATGCACTGAATATTTTTTCCCATTACACTAATAATATAAGAAAATGAAAAGTAACGGAGATATTCGCCATTAAACATGTCATTGTCTGCTGCCCTCTATCGGTGAAAATTTCATTTTCGTAGTTCTTTGTACAAATTTAGCTGGATTTCTCGGTTCTAATAGCCTACCGATACTTTGTAGATTCTTGTTTGTAACTGGACTGATACACTGATAACAAAAACATTTCTATTCATGTTTATTAGTTTTTTCATGAAATAATAGAAAATCATCATTTTTGTTGTGAAGAACCTTTACTGTATTGATTATAGCTTCCGAGGCCAAAACAAGACAAGACAATAAGAAACATGAAATTAGATTACTTGATTGGGAGCAATTTTCATAAAAAAAAAAAAAAGGTGTTAATCATAACATAGTCTGTTATCTACAATCAAAGTTTTAATAGGTGTCCCTACCGGTGACATGGAATGTTTTCGATAGAGCTATGGATAAGGCATTTTTTAAAAATTTGTCATTGTAGCATTATTTCTTATTATTTCAATGGGACCATTTCGGAAACAAGCAGAAATGCTTTAAGGGTTATCCTGAATTTCGAAACAATTCACATCAAATCATAATAATGTCAGATAGTAGATAATTGATTCACATAATAATAGGCACTTCTCATAAAAAAATTCTCTGTCCAATATCATCATTCTGAGTCGAGGCTAAAACAATATTACATAATCTACAGTAAAGAAAAAAAATAAGTGAGCTAAAACATGACTGCCTAATTTTAAGAGCTATAGTAGGCCTAATATCAAATTGTTCGAAACTAGTATGGACCTCAGATGAAAATACAAATTTAGTGATCTAATACTATTTTATGAAAACCCTAGTTTCCACCTCTCAGTTTTCTCTATGCTAGTGGTTTTAAGCAACAAAGAAATATTATCAATTGTAAGTTATATACCTTGACAGAAACATTGACACTGCAGGGGTCCCAAGTCTCACGGAACTCGCAAGAGTCTCCGGGAAATCAGGACGGTCTCCTGCACTCCTGCAAGCAAGCAATACGGTAATCTCCGAGAAATAAACCCACCTCCGCAAATTCATAATTTTTCATGTTTTCACTGCTTTATTATCAATTTTCTAATTAAGTCAGTGCCGGTGGGTACACTATGTGTAGCAAAATATAATTAAATGTGTACAGTACAGGGCCTCCTAAATTTTTAAAAATTATGAAAATATGGAGTAGAAATGAAAATTATATCAAATTTATGTCTGAGAGGTCCATTTCACGCCATCGAAACGTAACACAATCATACGTATTCTCCTCAGCTCCAACCATGATGGGGCTGATGTGGTTCACACCCTCCATCTGTGAATGTCCCTCCCAACCCCCACCCTTCGACCCACCACCGCAGATCTCACGGAAATGTCTTATTCCAACTTGGAACCCCTGTATTAGGTGCCCTCTTTTTGTTAGCAGATTTTTTTTCGGATTCGGCCAACGGTTTCTTAAACACAAAGTTGTAACAGCTAGGTTTGCCAAACGATGTTGTTCCAGCAAAATTGTGCCTGTCGTGCCAAGATACATGAAGCCTGTTATCATATCCTTTGATTTTGTTTAGTTCCAAAAGTTAGACAGAAATACTGAGATGGTGTTCAGCAGAGAACTTTAATTATAAAAGTTAAAATGAAATGTGCCTATTGTTATTTACAGTAGGTGAATCATCCACAATCTATAATTAATTATTATTTAGACCTATGGTAAATATCAAGAAATTTCATGTCACCTTTTTTGTTGTAACCCCCGAAATCCGGATTCACAAGTACCGAGATGGTTTTCTCATTTGGAATAAACGCCTTAATTAAACCGAACCAAATGATTGTAAACCAAGGCAACATCATTGTCAACAGATTTTATTGATTTTCTACTGCAGCTGTAGTACCATGCACTTAAAAAAAACATGTTGATAGGAAACTGTCACTGCAATAAACAAATAATATGGTTATTCACATTGTTAAATGAAGAAAAAAATACACATGAATAAAAATGGAATTTGTTTATCAATGTATCAAATTAGTTACAAACATACGACTCTACAAAATACCAGTATTAGAACCAAGAAAACGAGCCAACTTCATACAAACAACAATAAAATAAAAATTTCACCAATAGAGGGCAGCAGACAATGACGTGTTTAATGGCGAATATCTCCGTTTCTCTGCATTTCTTCATATTAGTGTAGTGGGAAAAATATTCAGTGCTTGATTTTCTTTCCAATGATACCAATAATACTATGTTTGACCAGATGCGTCCGCCATCTTGTTTTCCAAGATGGTGGCCAGATAATCTTCTCGAAAAAATTGGCACCAACGTTTTTCTTGTTCAGTATAAAATTCTGAGTCGGAAAAACATTGTTGCCATAAATTAACATGAATTGTGAACTCGAGCCTATTTTACTACATAGTAGGCCTAATATAATCTGGTACAACTGCAAAATTTTGGTTAATCACAAATGTGTATATTGTAGGCCTACTACCACAGCTGGATTATAAATAATGTTAATTGCTTATTAGATCTTATCCAAAGAGATCACTTGATGAGTTATAATGAATTTAAAGATAAGTTCTGTATCAATTGTAGTTTTATTCAATCTTATGGTATATTGAATAGT